ATTCCATTCACCACAGCTAATCAATGGAGTGTCTACAACATACAGTTTGTATAGTTGAGATACACTCAAGGCGTGAGGCTGTGCGGTGCGCCAACCGCCAACCTGTATTTGCTCAGGCCGCTGAACGTGTGATTATATAGAAGAATAAAACCCGGCCAAATAGTAGAGGAGGACCTACACAAACAAACACCACTATAACTATCGGCCGCTAGAATGGCGTGACTAAATTATGAGTGACAAGGGTGTAGGTCAGATTTATGGGGGTGGGACTTGCATAACTCAAATATTGGGGGAGGAGGGACTGGCATTCTTCTGGCGCAGGGTCTCTACCTACTCAGTAAAAAATCCTAACTGTTCCCCCCTGTCTGCTAAGACTGCACATTAATAGGAACTGATGGTGTGCACGTTTGTGTAAAATAAAAGTGAAAGTATACAATAAAGCTCTTTGCATTTGTAACCTCTACATCCACATTTGTTGTAGGCGTCCAAAATAAATAGGCCAACCATTCATCCAAAGTTGTGGATAAGGTGGAAAGCGATTAACTAAGGTCTGTTTCCCCAATAATAAAAGGAAACATGGGGATCCATTTCTGTACCAGTGTTATTCTTAGGGCTCAAAAAGTGGATACAGACAATAATTTGTTACCCGGGAGATTTCCAGGGTATTTAACAATTAGTAAATTGTGTTACAACTACACAATAAGTTGCAGGACATTCTTAAGTATTATAGGAATTTAATTTGAATTCATAACATATTTGTCAAAGAGAAATTTGCTTTATTTGGCATAGTTATTTATTTATACCTATGCTATTTGCAAATAAAACTGACAAAAATAATTTTTGTGAATGAAACCTTATGTGAATTAATAAACCCGTTAGTTCCAACGGTTCCAACATGGAATTAATGGTATGTTTAGTAATTATGACGTAATAGGAATTAGGAACGTATTAGGAGCATAATCCATTTAGAAAAAAAACTCTTGCTATTTACAAACGGTGTACAGTACTGTATTTGCTAGTAATCTAAAACGAAAAATCCTAGGGTGTCTTACACTCCGTTAAATTTCATAAGTCGTACTGTATGTAGCTAAAATCCAACCTGCAGGCTTCAGTATCCAATAGTCAATGCTGCAGGCTTTAACGGCGTGAAAGCTTGAGAGTTAAGAGCCGTAAATGAAATTTAGATAAACACAAGCGATGTAAGTACAGTAAATGCGAGAAACTATTTACAACATGTTGTTACATAAGCACCATAAGTCGACAACAGCGGTGGAGACAGCAAGTCATCCGACGTGTTACACCCCTGATAGGGAGAGGTGTGGGCCGAGTTTTTGTGACACTGCCTTCATCTATCAGCTTCTACAATCGTCTCGTCCCTCCACATCAGCAGCAACACCCCCGCAGTGTGCGGTACTAGGAAAATCTCCCTAACCTCCACTACACCTGCATCTGCCTAGCAGTTGATGGCAAAAGAGTAGAGTTCCGTCAAAAGTGTGTTATAGAAGGTTTTGAAAAATTGTATTAAATGGAATATCAGTATTTTTACAGAATTAGCAAAGCAAATCAATCAATCAGAAACGCTATAAACGAGGAAACCACAAATGGATTTCCCGTAACATGAAATTTGAAAAATTCGAGATAGGCTACAGTAAACTTAATTTCAAACCCACAACTTCGCAATATAAGGTTGTAGTTCGAACACGTATCATGACGGCTGGTCAGCGCAAATTGAATCATAAGATGACAACACGTAGGCAATGCAGGGTGCCAGAGATACAGGGGGAGGGGGGCACGTCTTGGACACGGCGGTAATCAAATAACTGACGGAATGTGGCGTCATTAAATGCATCGGTCACGGCTGGTTGTGGCCACCCGGGGGATAACCACCCCTCAAACTGCTTCCGGAGGAGGAACTAGCAACAAATACATCACCATCACTAGTGGAGTGTCTAACAGGTGGCGATCACCAACAAACAGTCACTAGGACTGGTAGGCCTATACTTTCTAAACTGGTGAAAAATTGTCTGAAATAGCACGCGGCCCTTCCTAGATCAGAAATTAACAAACCTACCTGCGTCAAAATTACTCACGTTGTGCAGATTCACTCAAACGTGAATATACAAAAACGCCAAACATATTCCATCCGAATTAGATTGAAACACCAAACTCGACTCAAACTCCTCTAAAGCAAACATTTAAATTCCAACAGCAATATTAACGAATGAGACATCCAGACAGATTAGGTGATCCTAAATTGGCGTTTCGAAATAATTTACAAACAGGCGGCGCGGCACGCTTGATGTTTTTGGTGTGAGTATTACTCCGGCGCGCAACCGACAATCGGAATCGTCTTGACAGCCGACTAAGCAATTTTCAACCTTATTACAACAGTGATTAGGGGCGAAACTCGTCTGTCAGCTCGTTCCATTATAAACACATGCTTAGCTCGCCTCGGAACGAATCGGGGAAAATATACACTCGCGTTCATTAACATAATTTCATCTTAATTTATTCCGTTAGCAATTTACTAAACGGCTTGTCACCGACCACATCGTGAAATTGGTATAAGCCCAAATTTGACGGATGGGTAATGACAATGACCGGGCGCAGCTGACTATTACCATTACCACCACCCCCTTGTCTGAGTATTTATTACAAGACTTTAATGTAATTTATAACATGATATCTGTAATGTTTTTTACCAATAGCCTAGGCCTGCTTAAACACATAACATTTACATTTACAAAACCTAACCCTTTGACGAGTATGTTATCATTTGACCACGTCTGGTTGTGCCAACGAAATTTCGTGGAGCTTATCAATATATAAACAGACGAGCCGAAACTATGCCTACACGATTGCACAGTATTGATAAGATATAAGCAAAAAGGCACTGGACATATTTACGTAATAGTAATTTATGATAAGAACTGGGCACGCCTAATAGCATAGATAAAAGGAGTATATAGATATGTCTACTTCTTTTAATCTATGCTAATAGTGACAGTACAAAAACTCGATCTAAATTTAGATGCATTTTTTCTAACGAAAATTGCTTCCGATTAAGATATTGATTACACAGTTGCAATAAGAATTTTTCTACTGCTCGACGCTTCCAATGGCACTCGGACCAGCGGAAGCGATAAAAATAACAGCTGCTTTGTCTAATTAGAAGCAGAAGCAGCTTTGCATGCGTCGCGAGTATCACTGTTTGGCGGGTACAATTTGCGGCAGTTAGTCTGTTTTTGTGGTGGCTGACTCCTAATGGGGCTTGAAGCTACCATTGTTTACAAGTAAGGCCGAGCTTCCGGTACAGTAGACCATAGACCAGCAGAAGCAGCATGTCGCTCTGTATTTCTGTTGTTTATCGGTCTACAAAGATAGGTTGAGACAAATAACTGGGTCGCTGTAAGACCCCTTTATACCCACAGTTAAATTAAAATAAATTACGTTTAGAATGACAAGTATGAGTACTCAAAAAATTTACTGAGAGCTTAACAATTGGGGTTACATTTAGAGGTCATTTCCGTTCTCAGATCTCACGTCCTCTAACAAAATTTAGTTTATTAACCTATACCAAGAAGAACCTATTTTAATTTATTGCCAAAGACAAAAATATTAGATTAATTTATGCTTGGAGTGAAGAACAATATGGATTACATCAAACATTGTTTTTTTTTTATGTGTTGGGATTTTTTTTTATATATTCAGTTAACCATGATAATTTATAATACTAAATATTTAATTCATTAGTGTTGTGAATTTTGCAAGTAAAAGGTTGAACTAGTACGCACTTGTACAAAATGTCATTTAAATGTTTGGAACGTAAATCAATGGGCCTGCTTCAAATTTGAAATATGTGACATAAAAATAAAGAGAATCTTTCGCCAGGTGTGTGAGGTGGGGGGTGGGGGCGAGGGCAGAGTGGCGGTGGAGCGTATTTCTCGTACTACGCATATCACCGACTAATTGGAAGATATTCTTGAATGAAGCAAAGTGCCGCCAGCCGCCAGCCCGGCCCCGGTAGCGGATTCCTGCGGGACGATGTTCTCAGCACTGCTAGTACACGCTTTCTCCGATGCTTAGACGACCTTCAAAACCTCTAAGCAGCCGGAGCCCGGAGTGGCCCAACGAGCCTAACCTCCAGCTCATTCCAAACTCGACATGCTTCTTTTTCTTCTTGTCCCCTCCCTCCATCACTCCGTCTCTCTCTCGCTCACCAAACTAGTTTCTGTCTTCGTCTCTCGCCGGTGCCCGGTGCTCGGTGCCCGACGCCCGCGCCGCTGACCCTTTGTTCCTCCGCATTTGGACAATACTAACTAGAGACGCCACTTCTCTCATTCACCTCGCCTTATTATAATTATTCCGCGTTACCCGCGCTCTATAATTTGGCCTCGGCTCTTTGTTTAGTGGCGCCCCCGATGTTGACGTTTTTACGCCGCGGTCGAGCGAGGAAGCGGCCGATATCCTCAATTACCTGTGGAGGCTCTGATTAATTTACCTGATGGGTAATGGGTGATAATTGGCCGTGAGAGGGAGGGAGGGTGTAAGAGATGAGTATGAATATGTAATGGCTTAGCCTACACGCTCACACGCACTTGCAGTAGTAGGGTAGCCTGGACGCCTAGTTTACGTGTAACGTAATTTGAATTTTGTTCAAATGATATTTTTGCCATCGTGGAGTAAATTCTATATAAAAATTAAATAAATTCTACGTAGAAAGTAAATTTAGGAGAATTTGCTTTTTCTGATACTGGCTGTTGTAGTCCAATATGCTGATGATGCTAAACGGCCGTTAAATACTCTTCTGCCTATTATAATTAAATTACGAGCCATCAAACAGCGTTATACTGTAATATTCCATAAGACGAACAACTGGCCTCGTATACATTACTAGATCAACACTAAAATCTATTCCGCGTGCTACTCTTGCAGTACTACAAGTATGTAGGCTATATTATATTGCATATGTCTATAATATAACATAAAGGACTACTTACCAAACACGGGACTAAGCTCCGACCTCGAAGCATTTTTACTAGTAGAATAAGGTTGACCAGAGACGACTTTTTCCTGCAAAAAAGAAAGTGTATCACCAAATTATAAGGGCAATCAATAAAAAAACCGCATAAGTGTATATCAGTATAAATTGAGAAATGTTAGTTTTATAATAATCCAAACAGCACGGGAAAAGACTTGTCTAGACGTACCTATAAAGGTTACGCAAGTACATATATTTAAAAGTAATTACATAGGAATAGGGAACACATGTATGAGTGTCTCTCGTAGAAGTGTAGGAAGACTAAATGTCACATACACAAACACAATAGTGTGGTGCTTGTAACCCATTCGTTACCACGCAAAAGAGGCCGTGAGTCTTCAAGACTTTACTGAATAACTAAAAATGTCAACGGATTTAACGAAATAACTCTAAATAACCTCACATTATCCTATATTGAGGGGAAGCTATATTAGCTATTACCTCCATTACTCAAAGGTTTCCCGCCGTAATTCTTGCGACTGTTTCGCAGACATCAATTAGCAAAGGGTGGAGCGGGTGGAAGGAATTCACACATCAAGTCAATTAATGGAAACGATAAGATAGTGATAGCCGTTATCACGTTATCAGGGGGGTCTCCGTCGCCACTACACAGCCAAGGCCACGGAACAGTGACCACAGCTGAGTAACAAGGCAATTAACAGCTGTGAGTACAACGCCAGCCTAGCCGCTGTATGAGTAATACTAACTAACTATGAGTGCGATTCAACTGATTACGTAGGTAAAATATTGTTATATGTATTCAGGACGAACAGCTCTGTTGTTTGTTTAATGCAAAATACAACTACCATGCTACAGAGTTGAGTAAAAAACAATGAACAGTCATTGGTAAAAATTATTAGCCTACCTAAATAATTGGTAATGATCGAAGAATGCATTACTTCTTTTAACAATAGCATATATTACGACGTTGCATATAAATTGCCTCAGAATTAAACTGTAATCAATTGGATTAACAATATTCAAAATTGAATTTGATGGAAAGTTCCTCAAAAGATATTTAATTTCAGTACTACTGAGACTCGCTCATTACATACGTTACGGAGAATACAAAAGACAGGTGTTCAAAAAACAATTAGCATCATTGCTACAAGCTGCCACTCTACAAGCTGGCGAAACCAACACTATATACCGGTGTCGGGCAGAGGCATGAAGCATGACGAAAGACGGTTAATGAAAGCAACAAGACACGCCCACAGCAAGCTTGTTAATCAGCAGTAAGTGACGGCTAATTCGTACAAGTCGTCCGGTAAATCACGGCGAGACATCCGGGGAAGCTGTGGGGACTGGGGAGGTGTGATCTGAGGTGCGAGTGGCGAGTGGCGCGGCGTGGAGGTGAAGGTCATGAACACAACGATCTGGTGATTGGTGGCTGGGACCGTGTGGGCCTACAGTGCAGTGTGTGTACAAAAACAAGAGCCCATCATAATTATTGAAACTATTTGTATGATCAGCTGAAATTACACGAGTAGTTAAAATAGTTTTCCTAGCTATTCCCAGGTTGCTGGTGAGATTCCAAGTGGAACCAATTGTCATTTGTACTTCAGCCATCAACTAATGACGTAACAACTGTTGACGTTGGATGGCCAAGACCAGAGTTTCGACGTCCTCTGCTGATAATATACAAATCTCCAATGATGTACAAATACACAAAATCAATACAAATCTGAATAAGGGAACTATTGATTTGGGAAAGACAGTGCACCGCACGGACACTTTATTGGATATTTATAGTGAGTAATATTTGTTCACACGATAATGTTTTTAAAGTTTTTTTGTTCACGCGGCCTAATTGACAGGATCATTAAAAAGGAAGCTCCTAACAAATTATGAATTATCGACAATTGACTCTCTAAGGAATAACTTGGGTAGCGAATTTATATTGATATGTTAAGGACCGTGCTGATTGTTTGATTTGTGGTGCTAGACCGCTTCACCGCTACCCAGCAGCACACTATGGACGAGAGCAAGAGAGCGACGTCGGCGAGGACGAGCGGCAGGTTCAAGGCCGGCTGATTCATGCCACTTGTACTGACTGAACTGACAAGTGGGCTCTCACACTGACACACACAAACACACACATACTAGCCTTTACATAGCGTTATGGGAGATCATCTTAGAACACAAACCCCACAGTCACTTTAAGACGCATTTTTAGTCAAGGGGTATGACTTGGGATGAGAAAATCAGTGTATCTTAAAAGATCTTGTAAAGTAAATACTGTAAAACGAAATTTAAAATTTTTATCTTTTAACTTTTTTGCTGAAATTTGACTGTAGGCCTACATGGACAACATGTATTGCACCATAACAATTTGAGCTCGTTAAATAATTGAGTTGAACCAAAGAAGACACCTGTAGTAAACCTTTGCTAAAACTAAAATCGTCAGATGGTTCTTAGAAAACTCAACAATGAGATCTTATAGTTGTTAGTCTCGTTTACACCTTGTTCACATGAAGACGATAGACGCCGCGTTTAGCGCGCGTTAGCAAAATGTGGAACCGAACACATGACAGCGGTTACTTAACGAAAGAATTTTTCCAATTAACCAAGCCGCTTGTGGGATTTAATAGACAAGAATCGATCAAACGAAAACTCTTTTTCTTTCAGAGGAAAAGACAGAAAACTAGTGCAGTGAACCAAACACGACTAGGGTCATATTGTTTTTCGTTTCGTTTTTTAGAGCAAAAAATTTAACATTCATAGACTCTAGATTGACTTGAACGTCAACGCTTCTAAACACCATGTCATAACACACCACAGCTGACAAAGACAACTAAAATAACTGACAAGTTGTAGTCGGGGCAGGGGGCGGCTCGCACGTGTCGGCCCGTTAACAACTATCGTATACACAACACGATTTATACAGGGGGAGATGAACTAAAATTACCCGCGCTAACGCCGTGCACGGCCGCAGCGCAGCGCTAGTGTCTCACCTCTGCTGTGGCTGTACAAACAACTAATTTCTCTCATTTATTTTCCGTCTCGGTCCGACCCCAACAAACTGTCTTCAACGAATCAACTAAACTTTAACACTTACAGAAAAAATGACCGTTGGCATGACAAGATAGCACATTGATTGACCATTGGCCAGACTCGGACTGTGTTGTTGACTGCGTTCCAATCGTTATGGGAACCTCGCACCTAACAGAAACGTATTTAGTTAATGTCTTCCAATGAGCTACTGTATCAAAGCTTGAAGATTTTTTAACCTTGGGGTTTTAGATATCATGACTTCAACCTTTCACTAACAGATGCTAGAAGTGAGCCACCGGTCCTTTGGTAAATTGAAAAACCAATGGAAAGTGAATTAAAAAGATGTAATTGTACGCATCACCACAGACAAGGGATTCCCTTGACTCTGGTAGCATTTTATCATTCTTTTAGTATTGTTTTGACATTAACTTGCTATTTTTATCTATGAGGTGGTAAATGATTCAAATAGTTACGTACAATAGAAACTAAAATATTTCATCCTGAAATAAACGATTAAACAAAGTTGACGTCAAAAGAGATGTGTGTAGTTGATGTGCCCATGGAACAATAATTGGGTTCAGGGTTATTGGATAGTCTGGGAATTTTAATACTGTAAGTTCTTTAATAAGTCTTTAGAAATTATCATTAATAGAAATAAAACTGATATTACCGATTTATCTTTAAAACTTAACTTATTATAGTTTCAAAATACATAATATATTTAAATTAATATCTGCTAAGAAAGTCTATTGGAAACACATTAATTTTTGGCTTAATGAAATATCACGTAAAACAACTACTTGCATATCCATAGTTGGTCCCACAAATGAATTAATAAATCAATAAAAGGGAGAGGAGATAATTATATAAGCGATAGAAGTTTAATATAATAGCGCTAATTATTCACCAACATCTACATAATAAATAATCACAAATAGATTACTATTTGCACTTATTATCAACAAATATTGTCGGAAAGCTAAATAATTATCTCTCGTAAAACGCATTTAATGAGTTCAACTCGTAATTACCAACATTACGGACGATTTCACTTAACTATCGGTTTATTTGAATTTACCATTTCCACTACTATAAATAATGCCTGTATGTGCAACGATTAGTAATGTAAATGTATTAATTCCATGGAGTAGGTGACGCCGGCTTTGAGGTAACGTGAGATAATATTGAAAACATAATCTCTCTTGATACTGTAACTCTTTAACTTCGTTACAGCTAATACCTTTTAAACTACCTGTTGAGGAAATTTAATAATAATAATAGATTGCCTGTGCATACTAAATATGATTAAATATTATATAAGCTAGGGCTGTACTGTATCTGTAATGTAGCTAGGACAATACGGACAGTTTGTCTGAGTCTTATACTGGACCAAATGCATACGTAGCTGGTGGTAAGTTAGTTTTGCCTCTATAACTGCAGATATTGATTGATGGAGAGTTAAAAAAAATTATCAACGCAAATTCAGTTATCTAGAGTTTCTTAAAAAGACTACAAACACCTGTATTAGATGGGGATTATACTAAACTTTAGATACAATACAGCTTTAGGAACTTTAGGTTTTGTTCCAAGCTTAAATCAAATATGGAATTTCTTCAGAGGGAATTAACATGGGTGGTACTTTGATTCTCAATCTGAGCACCAAAATTAGAAAAATGGGATACAAAAGTTACAACTCGTATTCGCTATGAAATCATACAAATTATTTAATAAATTTGTTCGCTATGAGTAAAATGTACAAGAAGTTTAATATATTAAACGTGATTTATTTTAAAATTAAAGCACTTTTGGTTTGAAAGACATTTTTTTTGTTATTTAAATTGACTATGACTAAAAAAAATTATATTTATAATATATTTTTTTTTTTATTTAATTTATATTTTATATTTATATGACTAGTTAAATAAATTATTTAGACTGTATAAAAAGTACTTACATAAATTAATTTCCAACATTAGAAGTGTTATTTAACGACTTTTATTTTGGAAACTCACTTACGGCACTCAGTTAAAAAGATACA